CTGTATGTCACCTAACGTGTGTTCCATTATCTAATAGTCTCTAATTGACCATCCAATGAGAGTGTGGTGACAAAGTCAGGATAAGAAAGTGCCGGCTATACATTTTTTGAACCATATGAAGGAGACTGAAAATTACCAAATTACATAATCAGTCTCACACAAGGAAAAACACTCAGAATATCCAATTTTTTAAGGATGAAGATTTATATAAAATTTTCTATTTCATAATAGATGTGAAATAAGGGTGGCAATGGACCCCACCAGACCCAGGACTCGACGGGTCATCCCGACCTCGGGTCCAGATGTGGGTCTAAATTTTAGACCTGAAAGGTTAGGTCTAGATTCAAAACTTGAACCCGAATACTAATCAGGTTTGGTCAGGGTCCGGTCCAGCCCAACCGACCCGTTGCCACCCCTAATATGAAACATTTACTTTAAAAAAAGAAGTCAAAGAAGCCCAAAACTGCATACGGGAGAAAATTCCCCTGCCAAAGATAAAAAGTACTCACTTCCAAAAAAACCATCCAGACTACTATATAATAATAAGGCAACCAATCTCATGAGCACTTGTCAAAAAACAAGAAAAGGCCACTAATCTTAAGAGATTTATTGTACTGACACCTTTTATGTCTTTTAATTATCATTTGAGGTTATTATTTTCAAAAATCACGAGGAACAACCCGCCCTCAGTAGTGATTTTTTTTTTCGCCTCAAGTTACGCCTTGTCTGGCAATAACAACACCCCATTACATTGAGGCTAAATAAAAAAGGGGACGTACTCATGCGGAAGTATATTATAAGTTTATTTCGTCAGGTAAAAGACCTATTTGGGAGGATTTTTTCAAATTCAATTTTTTTGGAACAACTTAATTATCATTAAATGATTATTTTCAAAACTCAAATTTTGAAATTAGAGTTTTCTAACGCTTTGATCTCCCCCTCTAAAAATTGGACAATCTCAGTTCAGTCTTGAGACATTATTTTTTCAAGTGAGTAGAGGGTTCATTAGGAATTTTTTCATTGAGATTAATCTATGGGTTGATGAGGTTATATCCCCAAAATTTGGATTCTTTAAATTAATTGTATGTGTGGTTTTACATGAGGGAGTAAATAAATAGGATACTCCCAAGGGAGTATAAATTTGTTTGGAAATAAAAAAAACAACCCTACACTTTAGCTTCTTAAATAAACAGGATACTCCCACAGGGTTCTCTCTTTTATAAAACCTTGCGCAGCCCTATTAAAAACCTTTTTAATAAAAGAAAAAAACTTTCTTGGGGCAGTCCCACTATACTATGGTGTTATCCAACATTTGAAACATTGTTTTTTTTTTTTTTTTAAGTCCGACATTTGAAACAATGGACTACTCTCGACACAGTAAGTTGCATGATATTATACCAAAAGTGTTAGAGCAGTGTTTGACTAATTGCGAGTATCCCCACGTTGGGTGGCCAACTCAAGGATCTTAAAAAAAAATTCAAATAAATTATAAAAGCTTTTAAAAATAAATGAAATCTATTGTAATATTTTTTTTATGTGTTCTATCATTCTCACAAAGATTAATTAAGTATTTTGGCTATAAATTTTTTTAAAGTTTTCCATCTGTTTTGGTTCACAAATTATTCTTTCAAAATCTATTTTCTAGCTACTTTTTTAACCTCATTTATACGTATTTTTCTTAATCTTATATTTCCAATATTTTTAGATTTTTAGATTTTTTTTTTAACACTCTTTTACCAGGTTAGCCAGATCGGCGGCAGGTGCGCGTTCAGCCACTTTCAAAGATGTCATGTAATATTGGGAACAACCATTTACACGAGGAAAAAGTTTATATAAGGATGCAACCTTATAATGCAAAACTACGGATGCACATCAAAAATCCATTGGAAAAAGTAGTTTTAATGTTGAAAAACCCTTTGATTGATCATCTCGACATCGAGATGTATGACCATGAAAAATAAAAAGATTTTAAGTCTCAGAAATAATGCATTTTGCATCATATTATCTATACCGTCCATTTTCAAGATTTCATATGTTTATAGATCTACTTGATTTTAACCATTTTTTAAATTTAAAATTGTATAATTAGATATAAAAATAGATTTTAAGATAATCCTAAAAACATTTTACATCAAAATTATATAATGATCAAATTTACAGGTGCACCTTGAAAGAAAGACCTATGTGATCTTTTACCGAAGAATACATTTTTTTTTTTATTTCACCCTTTTCTTTTGGCAAAAGATCACTTACATGTAGTCTTCATTATAATAAGATAAATTTCAAAATAAAATCAACATAACAATAAAACCAAGATATTAACAACTTGATGCCATTGAAACAACTATGCACTATGCTTGAGAATAAAAAATAAGATTGCAAGAAACAAAAGGAAGAGTGCTGGAAATTACAAATTTCGGCCAAGCCACGCCAATGGAACATGAATCATTTTCATCACAAACTCAAACCCTAGGTGAATTTTCTTAGTAACCTACTTTGAAAGATATTTATTCCATTTTTGCTAAACCCTAAATCCATTAGCCGTAAATCCATATTTGAGATGTAGGAGAGAAGAACTCCATAACCTAAACCCTTAGGTTCTTTCACAATGTGGAAGAGAGAGATCAAACATGAGAGAGAAACTTTCTTAAGAGACAAAAATAGAAAGATAAGGTGTAGAGATTTTTTGGTAGAGGCAATCTCTTTTTATAGGTTTTGAATAAAGTTAGGGTTTATTAGGATTTTCTTTGGCTCTGAGCCATCCATTCCATATATGTGTCATCAACATTATGGAATGTGCATGAACCATTATCCCCTTTTTCTAAACCATTTTTTCATCAATAGAAATTAAATAAATTAAATATAATCAAAATATTGTGCATACCATAAAATAACACAAGTTTACTTAATCTTTCCACAAAATCTTTTAAATATATATCAAGTCAATATTTAGTCAATATCTTCCAATTATATGGCTACATGCCATATCACCAAAATATAGGAAAGAGAATAAGGGTGGGTTGTGCCACCGAAGGAAGGCACTCATAGGCCCCACCTTCTAAAAATATGGCGGGTCCATGTACACAATGGGCCCCCATGATATTTTTATATATTTTAAATTAATAAAAGGATTTTAAAATATTATTTGAATATTTAAACAATTATAAAATCAATATCTTTAATTTTATAACTCTAAAAATTATAAATAAAATATCCAGGAGTTCATAAAAATTCAAATAATAATATTAAAATAATTTTCATCATAAAATAAATACAATTAAATTAATTTGATAGGAAAATGATTCATATGGTTTAAGCATCAACAATCATAGGGCACTCTACCTTCAACTGTGGACTACAGAACACACTTGTTTTATCAGACCGACTCAATGTCTCCCATGACCCACAATCCAAGCAAGGCCTCATTAGCGGATCACCAAAGTCCGGCCGATGAGCCAGGCGATCGCAATCCCAGTTTGTGGATTTCAGGTCATCCCCGAGAGACGAGTCAAAGTCACTTAGACCTGATGCAACCATAGCTCCAATGGTACATACAGGTATCTCTCGCAAATGCATACGCTTCATCCTAAAAGGTGGATTTTTGGCTTTCTAGAACGATCTATCAATATTTATGCCGTGTAATAGCACATGGATGAAGCTTTGGCCCCCGTCTCTGGAGGCCACCATCATACACAAGGGTCACACAGTCATTCGGCTTACTCATCCGTGCATATTTTCCGATCTCATCAAGGGCTAACCCATTAGAACTCTTCTCGATTTGGTCTTTATACCCAGGTAACATGGGTTTTTCCCAACCGACTAGCCTAGATCATCAAGCATAGTCTGGTATCTGCAAACATCGTTTGTTTAGTTTGGTCCACGAGGGACCACAATCCATCTAAATTCATATTTTACTATATCATTTTATTTTATAAGCACTCATATGACTTTTAAAAACTACATAAACCCTAGGCACATTACCTTTGTAGCTACGGATGCATCAAAATGTCAGCTGCACCCTTTACGCGATTCCATTGCAAAACACACAAAATTAACTAAAACTCACATCCGTTTCAACAAGCAAATGAAAAGTCAAGTGGAGCCCAAAAGTAACCATGGTCACGCCTTTTTGTTTTTTTTGTGCTTTTCAAGTGAGCCCCAAAGTAACCATGGTCTCGTGCTTTATTATTAGGGTGATTCAATTTCAAACATCCGAGTACTTTAAAAGTACAAAAGAAAAAAAAAATGTTGAGCATTATGATGTTTCAAACATTAAACTTTATTACAGTATATCAACAATAAAAAATAAAAGCTATCCCCCACATGAATATCTTATATCTTTAGACTAATCTATTATTATATTTTTTTAAGAGATTGTATACAATGAGATCATTTATATTTTATATAGACAAGTCATAATTATTTACAATCATTCAATGTGAAATTTGATAATTTGGATGTGTCACAAAGTTCGAAAAAATTTCTTTTGAACTCTGAGCTTGATTATTTACAACCATCCAATGTGAAATTTGATAGTTTGGGTGTATCACAAAGTTCGAAACTTTTTTTTTTTTAACTTTGAGCTTGGTCATTGAAATAAATACAGTCCTTAATTTCACATCTAATGGACAAGACAAATTGTGACCACCTTGTACCAAAAGTAAATAATCTCATTTTATCATTTTAAAGGCAAGTTTCCTATGCTTTCCTTACGTCATAAAACTTATATACTTTCCCTTATCCAACCGTCCATTCTAAATAGAGGGCTAAGATTGTCCTAATCATTATGTCACGTCTCTACACTATTTTATTTTTAATTTTTTTCTATAAGCTATTTTGATACCAAATTTTAGAAGTCCAATCCTCTATTAAAGGTGCACTAGCGAAAAATATTTTAGAAAATATTTGCAATAAAATAAGATGACAAAATACCTTTCAAAGTTTCAAGGGGTATTTTGGTTATTATATTTTATTTAAAAATTATTTTGAATATATTTTATAGGTGCGCGTCAATGCGAAGATGACACTAACAAAAAAAAAAAATTAAAAATAAAATACTTTGAGATGTCGGATCTAAGATCAAACGTTGAGTGGCTTTTTTTATCAAAATTGAACGGTTGGATGGTTAGAGAAGCATAGACAAAATTTCATTATTATTTTTTATTTAAAAAAAAAATATATTAACCTAGAAAATAGAGTTGGGGGGATTATGCGGAAGCATCCACCCCCAACCAGTGATGCCCCAAAATACAATTAATCTCTTATCTCTCTCTCTAGATACACTTAATCTATCTCATTGCTCTGTCTCTCATTAACGGGCAAATGGACAGACAGCCAGAGCAGTGAGAATAAAAGAACGCCAGTGAAGATCCATGATTTTTCTCTTGGGGAGTGAAAATATCCCCTGAAGAAGAAAAGCCGCAATGAATAGTCCATGTCTTAAAGCTGAGAGAGCCCTCATCACTGTCATGGCTCTGTAAGAATGTGGGGTGCAAATTGAGAGCACAACGAGCATCACTGAGATTATGAAATTCACAATGCAAATACTGAGAAAGGCATAGTCTTGTGTCGTTTCAAATTGAAGGCTGAAGGTGAGTGCAAATACTAAAGCCAAGCTTCTAATGGAATCCTCGGCCTGCAAAAGAGGGGGCAAACAACTTTAGAGGGCAGTTTCGATGGAAGAGAGAGAGAGTTCTACTTCTATGTCATCACCTGCGTCCGAGGAGAGGGGAAACCTTGGTTCAAGGAATGAAGCCGAAAACCTGCAAAAACACAAGAAGAGAGAGAGGATTTTAGCGAGATAAAGAGTTAAATAACAACTGGTTGATGAAATGCTCAAGCACCTACTTGGAACCCTAGCCATGGAAGCTGGAGAAGAAGATGGAGAAGATGGAGAAAGGAGAAAAGGAGAGGGGTATATATAATATTCCATTAAAGAAATTATTGGGTTCCAGAAGCAATTGGGTCAAGTCAACATGCAGACCTGGTCAGTGAACGAGGATCTGAGTTTTTAAACCCAAATAATGGAAATGATGGATGACGTCTGGGTCCACCAAGTAAGGTCACAAACAGGCCGGGGCCAGCTTGAGCTCTGCCCTGGTCATGTTAGGGCCAGGCTGGGCCAACAACAAATGAAGTAAAAATAAAAAAAAAACCAAGAAGAAAAGAGGGCCAAGCCAGGCCAGCACTAGCTCTAGCCCTGGCCTCTGGCCACAGTTCTTGGCCTGGGCACTACTTTTTTAAGGCCGTGCTGCCTGGCCCATTACCCGCCTTACGTCCAAGTAGCATGGACCTGATGGGTTGGTTCCATCTAACCTCAGGTTAGGTCTAGGTCCAGGTCAACTTACCCCAACCACCCTATAGGTCGGGTTTGGCCCCAACCCAGGTACGTGTATGAGTCCGGTATGAACCCAAATAAAACCCAAGTAGGTCATGTCTTCCCATAAACAACTCATTCTCATCAAGAAGTCACTCAAAAAGTTTATATTCCCGAAGTAGTCCAAGAGCGGATTTCTTGTCGAAGGTTATATGGGGTGCAGTTGGCATGTGGATGCATCCGTAGGCGTAGAGGTAAAGTACACTTTCAAATTTTATCATGGTATATAATTTTGATGTAAAATGTTTTTAAGATTATCTCAAAATCTATTTTTATATCTAAATATAAAATTTAAAATTTAAAAAATGGTTACAATGAAGTAGATCTATAAACATATGAAAATTTTGAAAATGGACAGTGTAGATAATATATTGTAAAATGCATTATTTCTGGGACTTAAAATCTTTTTATTTTTCATAATCATATATCTCGATGTCGAGATGATCAATCAAAGGGTTTCAACATATATAAATTATCTTTTCCGATAGATTTTTGAGGGGCATATGTAGTTCTACATTATAAGGTAGCATCCTATATAAACTTTTTCCTATTATATATCTGCTCATTAAAAACTTGGAGACCCTAAATGGGATTAGATTATACGAGTTAGTCAACTGCAAAGTCAATGACGTTTTTAAGATCTTTTTGACCATTTAGCAAAGAATACAAGGTTCCTTAGCAAACAAGTAAAATTATGTCTTTTTAGATTGCCAAGCTCCTACAAATTACATTAAATGACACGATTGGTTTGTATGAAACATGATAAGATTATCATGTGTTTTAAGTGTTGGGAATATTTTTACATAAATTAGTTGTCAATCGGTATGAAAAGATATATTAAGATTAATTAGTATAAAAATATTCTTACGCTCGAGCACATAAAAAAAAATTTCAAATATTTTCACATGAACTAAACGTGCCATAAATGAAACTCAAGGAAAAGAGGGAGCAAAATGGAAACTCAACAGAAGAGTTTAAAAGTTTCAAGGGCAGTCAAGTCATTTCAATTTGATTTTTCGTTGGTGATTATCTCAGCTATGGGCTTATCCTTGTTTGGTTACAATGAAAGCTTAGCAACTTTTAGGGTAGGTAACAACCCATGGATCAATGTTTTCTTTATCAATTTTTTTTTTTACAGGGCCTTAAAAGGACTACTTGCTGTGTTGTTACCTTGACATTGGCATTTTTGTTCGGGTGCAATTGGCATACGGATGCTTCCGTAGCTGTAGAGGTAAGGTGCACCTTCAAACTTTATCATGGTATATTATTTTGATGTAAAATGTTTTTAGGATTATCTCAAAATCTATTTTTATCTCTAATTATAAAATTTAAAATTTTAAAAATTGTTAAAATCAAGTAGATCTATAAACATATGAAAATTTTGAAAATGGACGGTGTAGATACTATGTTGTAAAATGCACTATTTTTTAGACTTAAAAAATCTTTTCATTTTTCATGGTCATACATCTCAATGTCGAGATGATCAAGCAAAGGGTTTTTGAACATTAGAACTATCGTTTCCGATGTATTTTTTGAGTGCATCCGTAGCTATAGAGGTAAGGTTGCAACCGTATACAAACTTTTTCCTTTTTTGTTTTATTTGTGGATGAGTTTGCCTCCAAACATGGGTTGGTTAAATTAGGGATAACTCTTTCTAGCGGATCAGCTATGGTTTTCCTGAGCAAAAGCCTCTCTCAAGACCCTCACTAGGGGCAAGTTGCCTCGATAATCATATATAGGTTTGTACAAGTTTTATAAGTATGAGAAGAAGGCCGCGGAGCGATTGGAGAAGCTGATGATTTGACCGACAAGAGGTGGTGCATGAAGAGTGCTTCATTAGAGTTTTCTGGTATTTTCTACTTCTTTTAGTTGTAGTGTATTAGTTGTAGTGTATTGTTGTAATTATCTGTCATGGTTAATAAAGGTAAGAACTATTTCAAGAGCGAGACGGAGAGAGGGTTATCTATTGGTGAGAGAGGTTTGTATGAACTCATTTTTACATATATAAGTGAGAGAAAGGCTTGTATGTATTCATGTGTTTGTGTGTGTTGGAGGGGGGGGGAGGGGGGGGGAGGGGAGAGAGAGACAAAGGGATTTCTCAATAGAACTCACGCCATTTCAAACTCAATATTGAAGGGAAAATCTGTAATTTTTGTATATAGAACCCAGGCCGTTTTAAACTCAATATTGATAGGATTTCTCTAAAGAACCCAGTACATGCAGTATGGAAAAATCTGTAATTTTTGTATATTTGGGCCTTCAGCCCCCATAGATTGATGTATTATAGAATTCACAATAGATGAGTGTCTAATACCCTATTTTATAGGGCTAAACAATTGTAGTACAGCTTGTGTCGATAAAAGTGTATAGAGCAATGCATATGCACAATCAAAGATATCAGGATATGTGTATTTCTGAACTCCTTATCAAACTCAATATGCATTAAGAAAGAGCAGCTGGAATTTAGACAGCAAAAGGCAAGCCTCATAAACATGGCAGGAACAAAAGAAAATCGAACAGTGGCAAATTATCATATATGCAAAGTATAATTGAAATCATTAACATGAATTCACTTGAAGCAATTTAATGACAAACATTTTCATTGAAACTTATGTAAGTAACCATTCAAACATTTTGGCAATAATTTCTGAAAGGTAGCAGTTCTGAAGGACATTCTTGAAATCTAACATGATAACAGTCTAATATCAATAGAAAAACCCTCATGGGAATCTTAAATTAAATACAAAATTAACACAATTTATGGAATTGCCAATTCGCAAATAATCCTTTCATAGGCAAAACTACATGTGCAGAAAGGCTTGTATGTATTCATGTGTTTGTGTGTGTTGGAGGGGGGGGGGAGGGGAGAGAGAGACAAAGGGATTTCTCAATAGAACTCACGCCATTTCAAACTCAATATTGAAGGGAAAATCTGTAATTTTTGTATATAGAACCCAGGCCGTTTTAAACTCAATATTGATAGGATTTCTCTAAAGAACCCAGTACATGCAGTATGGAAAAATCTATAATTTTTGTATATTTGGGCCTTCAGCCCCCATAGATTGATGTATTATAGAATTCACAATAGATGAGTGTCTAATACCCTATTTTATAGGGCTAAACAATTGTAGTACAACTTGTGTCAATAAAAGTGTATAGAGCAATGCATATGCACAATCAAAGATATCAGGATATGTGTATTTCTGAACTCCCTATCAAACTCAATATGCATTAAGAAAGAGCAGCTGGAATTTAGACAGCCAAAGGCAAGCCTCATAAACATGGCAGGAACAAAAGAAAATCGAACAGTGGCAAATTATCATATATGCAAAGTATAATTGAAATCATTAACATGAATTCACTTGAAGCAATTTAATAACAAACATTTTCATTGAAACATATGTAAGTAACCATTCAAACATTTTGGCAATAATTTCTGAAAGGTAGCAGTTCTGAAGGACATTCTTGAAATCTAACATGATAACAGTTTAATATCAATAGAGGAACCCTCATGGGAATCTTAAATTAAATACAAAATTAACACAATTTATGGAATTGCCAATTCGCAAATAATCCTTTCATAGGCAAAACTACATGTGCAGAAATATCAGTTTTTCAAATAATGAGGAAGTCATTTGCACATGAATTTTACAATGTCTAAATATTTAAAACAGTAGAAGAAAAGTTCACAATTTTACTAAAAGAAGAAATATCATGTTTATTTCTAATAATTTACAGTATCTAAAATTCTCAAAAATAGATAGGAAAAATAATTTTATTTCCAATAATTTACAGCATTTAAAATTCCTAACAATAGATAAAATATCACAATTTTACTATAAAATTATTTTTCAAGACAATAAGCTCATTTACACATAAAAATTATAAAATAAAGATGTTGGTCGAAAACATCACTATTTTATTAAAAACAAACTATTTTTCAAAAGAATACGATCACTTACTTATGTGTAACTTAAGATGAGGGAGCCTACCAACTGGGAGAGAGTTGACTATGAAGTTTCCTGTTAACAGGAAGCCCTTTATTTTTAACTTAGTGAGAGAGAATCGCGTCCTCCTTTAATCCACAAGAAGCTTAGTGTTTATCTGTGAGAAAGCGACATTGTCCTTCACGCAGAAGATGCACAGCTCCTAGTGTAGAATTCCTGAACTAATTGCAGGAGCATAATCCTTGCATGGGATAGCAAGGAAGAAAAGATGTATGATACAAGCCTTAATCACAAAGGAGAGAATTTCTCTAGGCGAGCCAGCCCCGAGAACCAATCAATCAGAGAGAGAGTTGGGTTTAACAGAAGCAGCAGCTAGGCTCTTCCTCAGCGTTCGCCCTCGTACCCCATCACAATGGAGGATGCCCAATTGTAAAACCCATTTGACACGACCACATCCTTAGACAGACCAAAAATGACAGAGAAAGGGAGACCCGCACCCCTTTTTAAATTGAGCCCGTAAAGGGCCTTAATTGAAAGAGATGGTGTAGTATAAGAGAGAAACCCTTATAAAATTTTAACACCTTTCATAAAGTTCTCTTAATTACATATAAAAGTTTGTTGGGTTGCCACGTAGTGTGGTGAGACCATAGTTAGCAAGTCGTGGAGTATCAATATATTGACACATTACAAAATCGACAATAAATCTTAGTATTTTAAAAAGTCGGATGAAAAAATCGGATAAAAAATACGGATCGACAAAAATACTTTACGTAAAAATATCGCAAATATATCGAATTAAGCTAAAAAAATCAGAGTGTAAAAAACGGATAGGTTAACTATACTGACTATGCACCATACTAACTATCGTAACTATGCACCATACTAACCATGTTAATATGAATTCAAAATTAAAAGCTTGAGCCGTACTAAACATTTAGTCATGTAATTCAAAGCTTGTGCTTGTGCACCATACTAACGGGTCATGCTGTGCATGATTCTTTGAGGTACTTACCCATTTACTCATGACACGTGTTGACTTACCCAAAAAGCTATGTATCACTTGCCCGCTATCATTTTTAATAGAACAAATGGAGCGGGGAGAGAGAAGAGAGAAGTGGTTGCAGAGAAAGAGAGAGAGAGAAATGAACGCAGAGAAAGAGAGAAGGGGATGACCACGGGTTTATCAAAGAGTAGCACTGAAGAGTAGGCACATGCACGTGCAGAGTTTTTCGGATGGTGTTGTCTTTTGAAGCAGATGGTGATCCTGTTTGTAAAGAAAATCAGATGGATGCGCTGCGTAGAACTCAGATGGTGCTGTCTTTTTTGAAGCTGACAGATTGTTGAATCAGGTTTAGGGAACAACCCTAATTTTTTCACCTTTTTTTTTTTCCCTTAATGTAATATTCTTTAAGCTATGTTGCATTTGGGGATTTTGAGCTATGTTAAATTTCGGAATTTTTGATAGTTGATGTTAAATATGTGTTTTCACTATCATACCGTTTTCGTTTTTCCCTAATCTATTTTTTCCAAATTTTTTTAAGATGTTAAATTTGGGGATTTTTGATAATTATTTCTATCTATGTTTTTCTCTAATGTATTTTCTCCTAATTTATTTGAGATGGTTCTCTATGAGTGGTTATCTTTCTCTCTCTCTGTATTGGAGCTTGATGTCGAGCATTATAAACAGTGATTGATAACTAGTAAATAAATTTCCTTACCTATTTCCCCCTAATTTCTCTCTATGAGTGATTCTCTTTCTCTCTTCGTCTGTATTGGAACTTTGTATCGAGCATTATGAACATGGATTAATACTTAGTAAATAAATCATAAATAAAATGAGATATTAAATGAGATTTAATTCAAAGAACAAAAATAAATTAGTGTTCAATACCATATAAAGCTGCAATACAATAAACCTATAAATCTGTGTGAGCATTAAGTGATTTTCTACATTAAATCAGCAGTCATATGCGATGACCCCGTTTTAGGATTTTTTTAAAAAAAAAAAGAAAATAAAGAAAGAAATAAAAGCAGGAAAAATGTCAATGAACGTTTTTTGAAGGTATAAAAAATGAACTTTTATAGAACGGGAAACATGTAAATAAACTTTCCAAAAAAAAAGAAACAGATGTTATTAATTGTAAAGTTTTTTTGGAACGATTTATTGTAAATATAAAAAAAATCACGTTTTAAACTTCTTCATGAAAAAAAACATGATTTTTTGACGCTCTTTTGAATAATATGTAGATTAAAATGTTTTTAAAAAAATCTCCGATTTTTTAAAAAAATGGCGTTTAATACGGCGATTTGCTAACTATGGGTGAGACATCTCCTTAAAACAACGCCTTTGTAAAAGTTGGTGGACCAAAGGTCCACACTGGCAAACTGGGTCTTACTTAAGGGTGTTGGAAATGCTACCCACTTGCAAGGTAAAGCATAGTGCAAATGCAGTGTAGACCATAGAGTCTACACTATAAAAATAGACTTGTACCATATTTTTAAAATGATAATACTAAAAAAAAAAGAATTGTTTTGAACCATTTTATTTTAGCAAAAATGCTAATTGTCCCCTACCTGTTTCAAAAGACCTCTTTCCAAATATATTGGGAAAGACAAAACGAATGGTCTCTGTGGTGCATTAACAACATAATTAACCGCCACTCAAAATCATTTTTTGTAAGTATTTATTTCTGTTTTTGTGTTATTCTTACTATTATTATTATTATTGTTATTGTTTTATGTTAGTTCCAAAAAATTCGGGTCATTATACAGGTCCTGAATGTGGTCTTAGGGACATCTTCTTTCTTGACCCACAGTTGATGATAGCCTGACCAAATATCAATCTTAGAAAATACTTGGGCCCCTTGAAGCTCGTTCAAAAAAGGCATCAGTTCTAGGCAAGGGATACTTATTTTTTGCTATGACCTGATTCAGCTGTCTATAGTCTATACAAAGCCTTAAAGACCCATCTTTCTCTTTCACGAATAAGACTGGGGCACCCCAA